ACACACACACAAACACCTCGGCGTGGCTGTCCTTAATGGAGGTCTCCACAGAGGTCCTGGCGCGCGCCACCACTTCGGCTGCGGTCTTGGCCGCCGCCTCTGACACCGCGGTCGCGTTGATGGGCACGGGGGACCCCACCAGCGCTCCATCCGCCCGTGCCTGCCCCCGCCGGTCCCGGGCGCGGGGCGAGTCGTGCGCCGCGCCGCGCCCCCCGCCGGCCCGCCCGGCGCGCCCCGCCAGGGCCGCCCCCTCCGCATCGGCCTCCTGCCGGTCGCGGTGGCCGTCCAGCTCGGCCACGGCGGCGGCCAGCGCGGCGGAGCGCCGGGTCTCCATGGCCGCCAGCGAGGCGGCCGCGGCCGCCACCCTGGCGCAGGCAGCCTCCAGCGCGGCGGCTGCCGCCGCCAGCCCCGGCGCGACGTCGGCGGCGCGGCGCGCGGCTCGCGCGCCGGCGTGCGCGCCCTCGGCCGCCAGGCGCGCGGCCAGCAGCGCCTGCGCCGTGCCGTTGAGCTCCCGCGCCGCACTTTCCAGCGCGGCGGCCGCCTCGGCGCGCACGCCGTCCACGCGCTGCGCCGACAGCGCCGTGGACATCGCGTCGTCGCCGGCGTTGCTTTGGTGGGCAGGCGTGCTGTCGGCAGCCGTCGTCTTCGGATTCATGTCTGTCGCCGCGGCGGCAGTGCCTTCGCCGGGTCGCCGCAGTGTGTTCATGCCTCGCCACGGTCCCAGCATCAGTCGCTTTCCCCGCACCGCCCGTCGTCTTTGCCGCGACGCCCGTCGCTTTTGCCACTGCACCAGTCACCGACGAAGGGGGACCCCGGCACGGCGTCGCGATGCCAGGGCAGCACGTCCGCGGCCTGCCCCCTCACATGCACCCAGCTGCCGGCCAGCGACAGCGCGGAGGAGAGGGCCTGGTCGCCAGAGCCGCTGCCGCCGCTCGACTCCGCCTCCTCGCGCCCCTGGAGCAAGGCCGGCACCAGCTCGGCGGCGGAGGCGTTGCTGCGCAGCAGGGCCGCGGACCTGCCCAAGCTGGAGGCGACGCCGCCCAGTGTGCCCAGCGCGGCGTCCAGCTCGGACCCGGCGGCCGCCAGGCCCTCCGCCGCGGCGCGCGCGCGCGCGCGCTCGGAGCCTCCCGCCGCGTCGTCCAGAGCTCGCTGCGCGGCGCGCAGCGAGCGCAGCGTGCCCTCCGCGCCGCGCGACGCGCCGCGGACCAGCGCCGCCGCCGCCGCGACGCTGGACACGTGCGCGGCCTCGGTGCGGGCCCGCGCGCCGGCCGCGGCCGCCGCCGCGGCGCGCTGATCTTCGCGTACCAGCGCGCGCGCCAGGCGCGCCACGCGCGCCTCCTGCGCCACCGCGCGCAGCAGGGCCTGGGTGCAGAGCAGGGCCGAGAGGCTGCCGAGGACGACCAGGGCCAGCGCGCCCCGCCGCCGGCGGCGCAGCGCCGCGGTCTGGGCGGCGCCGCCTGCGACGGATGCGCCGCGCCGCTGGAGCGAGGAGGCCGGGGGGTGGCCCGGTGCGTGCCACGTCGGGGTGCCGGCGACGCACCCGGGGTCGTCCGGCGGGGACCCTGCCACAGTCGAGGCCTCCGCGCCGCCTGCGGTGGCGCGCAGGAATATGGCGCCGGGGAGGACAAAGGCCAGGACCAGGGAGGCGGTGCTGCCGGCCAGGCCAAACACGAACTCGACGTTGGGCACGGCCACCGCCAGCGCGCAGGCCGCGGCCAGGCACGCCGCGGTGGCCGCCGCGTCGGCGGGGCGCAGGCGGGCGGGGTCGTGCGCGACCCCGGGCGCCGGCCCGCACGCCCCCGCCCTCCGGCGCACCGTCTCCCACGCGCGGGAGCAGACGGCCTGCAGGGGGAGCATGACGAGGGGGAGCGTGCCCAGGATGGACAGGCCGAAGCCGATGCGGAGCGCGGACTCAAAGGCGCGGCGCGGGGCGGAGGCCCTGTCGCCGCCCAGGTTGCGCAGCAGGTCGCCAGCGGTGGCGGGGCCGTAGGCGATGTACCCCGCCGCGCCCACAGTCACGTACATGGCCGTGCTCAGGGCCATGCTGTGGTGAATCACGCGCGTCATGCTGTGCACGCTGGCTGTGGGAGCATTTGTGTGTGTGTGTGGGGTGGGGGGGGGGTGGGGGTAGGGGGTATAATTGAGAGGCAGGTGGAGGGGATCCACCGGTGAAGCGGGTGGGGCGGGGCAGCGCCAGGATATGCCAATTCCGCACGTCTGGTCCCCGCCAGGGGACCGTGTGGGGCATCGGGGCGGCCTGGGTCGGCGGCGCGATGCATCACGCCCCTCCACACGCCCCTCCCCCCCCCTCAAACCTGACTGCAGGGTCTCGTAGATGTCAAACAGGATCTGGTGGGCGGTGAATCCGTAGACGACGACGGGGAATGCGAGGGGCGCGCCCTGGGGGCGCCACCACAGCAGCTCCGCCAGCGGCGCGGCGGGTGCGGCGGCGGTCAGCGCGGTGGCGGCGCCGAAGAAGAAGAGGAAGGTGACGGACACCTGGGAGACGACGGCCAGCAGTGCTGCGCGGCGCACGCCCAGCGTCACTGGCAGCGCCACGAGCGCGGTGACTGCGAGGAGTAGCGCGTCGCGGCTGGGCTCGGCGCCGGGGGGCACCACGCTGCCCGCCACGCTGCTCCCCGTGTCGGCCAGGATGTTGAGGTAGGCCACCAGGCCCCCCAGGTTCATGATCAGGACGCAGGCGTCCACGCACCGCGCGCCGACGGGCCCCAGGCACGCAGCCGCCAGCGCCTCGTAGCTGCCGCGCCGCGCGCGCCCTGCCGCCAGGAGCAGCAGGCGCATGGACAGCGCGCTGGCGGCCACCACCAGCGCGATCAGCGCCGTGGCCAGGCCCAGGCCGCAGCTCTTGTACACGTAGGGGAAGCCCAGCACGCCCGCGCCCAGCACCGCATTCACCAGCGTGAACACGCTCTGCCGCGGCGTGGCCTTGGCCGTTTCGGGGCCCTGGAGGGAGGGGGGGGTTGGGGCCGCCTCGCAGGAGTGGGAGCTGCGGGCGGAGCTGCTGGTCTGGAGGGGGGTGCCTCGATGGTGTGAGGGAGGGGGGAGCTCTGTGGGTGTGGCGGGCAGGACAGACGTGCGAAAGGAATTGCATCGTCGGCTCGGAGTGGGTACATGCCTCGAAGAGGGACCGGCGGGACGGGTGGGCAGCGGCCGAGCCCGGCCCCTCAAACCCCCCACCACTGTACAGTCGTCCCCCCCGGCGACAGCCCCCCAGCAAGCGATCCCCTCAAACCCGCGCACCCGTTGCAAGACCCCCCGGGGCGGAGACATGATATCCTTGGCCTCGGCGCCGGCCCTGGTATCCAGGCGGGAGGGGCTGGTGATATGGGAAGACTTCCTCTCGCGAGGCCGACCCAGCATGGAGGAGGCTTCAGGGAGCCCCTCCGCCCCCTCTACCCCAAGTATTGTCTTGAATACGCAAATTTAATGTTCGCCGGGCGATCTACGATCAGGGCAGCGGGCTGAGCACTCGTCGGGGGTTCCGGACGCTGTTGGGCCGTACCATGGCACGCAACTCCGGGGCGACTGTGCCGGGTACTGACCCGGGCATGAGCATTCGCACGAGTACATGTGCGCTATTCGAGGCACTGGGGTGCTCCAAGGGGGCCCAGAAGGCACGCGATCGCATACGCGGACCGACCATCTGTCTGCGCCCCGGATCGTAGTGGTCTCCACGCAGCATGGGCAGCAGCACGCCGAGAGCACCACACCACCTGAGCTCGCCTCACAGAAGACCAGCCTTACAGCTACTTGCGCAAGGACCAACGAATGGATCAGGCAACACTCTTAGCATATCAGGTCCCTCGATTGATATTGAATACCGCCTGGTCCCCCAGCTCCTGGCCGGCCAGACCCTCCCGCGCAACCCTATTGAAGAAGGCCTCCAGCGTGTCGGAGCCATACTCTGGCGTCGCGTCGGCGTCATACCTCCCCTCCTTCTCGTCCCACACCAGCATGCTCTCGGTGGCATAGTACCTGCCAATGCGCCCAAACTCGGCCGCTTCCTGACAGTCGGGTGGAGGGGGAGAGGGGCCCTGAAACACTTTGCGGATCACACAACACTGCTCCCTGGCTGATAGACAGGAGATGTCCCTTGAGAAGAGCACACTCACACCTCTCATAAACACCCAAAAGTACTGGGAGACCTGCACACCCAAATGCTGCGCTTTGAAGATACCTCAAGAAGCTATGCATACCAGGATGCTTGACCTTGCAACCATCATGGGAGGCATGCCTGCTACACTTCCCCCCATCCCCTTTTTCCAGCCAGGGCCCTGCCGCAAACCCCAGCCGCCCTGCCACAACCCCCAACCTCCCTTTTCCCCCCAACACACACGTGTCACACCACCAGCCACCCCCCCCCCCGCCCACCTTGAGCCCTGGGAAAGGCTTAGCGAGGAGGTCCAGGATGCCGATGACGCCGTCCATGATGCCCACCGGCAGGCCCAGGGTCCACTCCTTCTTTCCAAAGGCCTTGAAGAGCAGCTGCGCCTGGTCGCGCGGGGTGAGCGCCCGCCCCGGCCCGCCGATGGGCAGCACGCGGTTGACCCTGGCCTCGTCTGTCACGCAGTCCGCGATGTAAGAGGCCAGGTCAGCCTCGCTGATGGGCTTGCAGGCCGCCAGCCGCCCGTCCCCAAACCAGACGTAGGGCTTGCCCGTGGCCACGAGCTCCACCTGCCCCGCAAGCGACTTGAAGAAAGCGGTGGGCCGCACGATGCTCCAGCTCGTCCCGCCCTCCCGCAGCTTGGCCTCGAAGGCCAACTTTGCGCGCTGGAATTCCAGGCTGGGGCGCTGCACGCAGATGGCGCTGAGGAGGACGAAGTGGGCGGCGCCCACGGCACGCGCCGCGCGCAGCGCATTCACGTTGGCGTCGTGGTCCACAGCCCAGGAGTCGGCGATGCCCCCGGTCCGGCTGGCCAGGCAGGAGACCACGGCGTGTGGGGCGGGGTGCTCCGAGAAGCAGCGCTCCAGGTCTGCGGGGTCGGTGACGTCGGCCACCGCCACGGTGGCCCCCTCCAGCGCCTTGGCATGGACAAGGGATTGGGGGGCCACCAGTCACAGTAATGTTAACAATGCGTAGAAGGGGGCCTGAACCGCCGCAGCCCTCCTGGCCCCAACCCCACACCAAGCATGATACCACACACAGGTCAGACCATCGTTTCCTCCGTACAGACAGATAAGTCACCTTCTCGACGTCGGAGACCTTTTGCTTACTGCCGATGCCCGAGGAGGGGCGGGTGACGGCCAGCACTTGGAAACCCCGCTTCACCAGCTCCAGCACCACGAACCGGCCGATGTACCCGGTGGCCCCCAGCACCGCCACGCGCACCTCGGCCGGAGACAGATCGGCATAGCTCAGCTTCGCAGCGTGAGGTTCCCGGGAAGCGGGTGGAGGTGCCGCTCCTGCGGTCGCGAGGCTGAGTAGGGACCGCCTGGTGCCATGCCGGGTCGAGGTCATAGAGGCAGGCGATGCGGGTTGGGGGTGCCTGCCGCTTGATGCTCGCACCCCTGCCGGCTGCCAGGTGTGACATCCATTACAAATGTTTCTCTGACCTTGCAATTCCGTCGCCATCCCCGCAATGCCTGGTGGGGCTTGCGATCGGCCTGGTGCGCATGGGGTCCATGCCAGGGCTGGCATGGGAATGATGGCCACGGAACTTCACGATATGGAAACACTCTAAGCTCTATAGAGATTTTATGTCTACAATGGAATTGTATGAAATAGCACGCACACTGTGCATCGCCAAATGGCGTACCCAGCGCGTGATTTGGTGGAGTCTGATCCAGATTCTCTTCTTCACCTCCGGAGTGTGGGAAAGCTTCGGCAACCAAGCCAAGCATTGCCCCAGACCCAAAGTCTGAGTTTCTTATGACAGTTTGGACTCGAAGGTCGCCTTTTCTTACGGCCTTGAACATCACCTCCCCATTCATTACCTGCCTTAGCGGGAAAAGGAAAGCTGCACCCTGCACCTGTCAGACTGGACAAGGGTGATTCTCACATTAATTGACAGGAAGGATCATCATCCAATGTATGTTGGAGACAGCATGCAATCCAGTTTGATGAGAGCATTCTGCACAGGGTCACCTGCTGATCTGGCTTCTCAGTCCCTACCCTGGGCGCGCTCAACACGCTTTTCCCGCTCGGCCTCTGAACTCGCGAAACAGCGTCAGGTACACGGATTCAACCTAGTTCTTCGGCATTGCTTAACGAGCATCTCAGTGGCGGATTCACCCGACACCGAGTCGCCGGCGTGGTGCCAGCATTGCTGCGACCGCCCACCGCCCACCTCGAATCAGGGTTACAGATTGACTGTGACACCCCAGCTCCTCGACAGCTCCATTGCACCCAGTGCATACCTTGAAGATTTACAGGATTTACCAGGGCGGATTCGGGGGACGCTTGACAGTCCACTGCCGATGCCCGCCGGGAGGTGATCCCTCGACACCTGCCGCTCGTGATGGACCCAGATGAGGACATCGTCTCGATCAGGTACAATTAATGAGACGAATAGTATGCTGACGGTGGGCGTTGCCCCCCTTGGCAGGCCTGCATTGTTACCGAACGAGTTCTCGCGCACCGGCCCTCCCCCAGACGTTTGCCGGAGGACGACCTGAATGTGCGGGAGGTGCGCATCTCCTGCCCCGACGCCACGGGGCTGGGCGTGGACCTGACCCGCGTCCTGCTGGACTTTGGCTTGCGCATCCTGCAGGGGGACATCAGCACCGACGGCAAGTGGTGCTTCATGGTCTTCCGCGTCCAGCTCAGCTCTGGGGTGCCCCCTCGCTGGCAGCTGCTGCGGGCGCGGCTGGGCAGCATGTGCCCCAATGGCACCGCGGCGCTGGACGCGCTGTGGCGCTGGCGTTCGCTGCCCAAGGAGCACCCGCCCTTCCTGCTGCAGGTCGCGTCCTACGACCGCCAGGGCATGCTGCACTCCCTGACACACGTCCTCTGGGAGTCGGACGCGACGGTGAGGCAGGGAGGAGGGGGTGAGGGCTGGAGGGGAAGGTGTAAGGGAATGGAGGAGGGGTACTGGGAAGTCTCTGTCGAGAATGGGGACGGGGAATACCTCAGACGACTGCCAGGAGGCCCCCTCGCCTGTTCTCTGAGGCTGGCGATTGCATGCCCCAGCATGCCATCCCCAACCCTGCCCCACCAATTGTCTCCTTGATCCTCGCACAGGTGTTCAAGGCCCACATCACGACTTCCCCCTCTGGCGACGTCGCCGACATGTTTTGGCTGTATGACAACCGTAACGAGCTGCCGGAGCACCATAGGGTAGGCGTCGTGCCCATGCCATGTGTCGTAATTTGGGACGATCATGGACCCTGCGTCGGGGAAGCTGAGCAGGTGCCTGCGGGGCCCGGCAGGACTTTTCACAAGCCTCCATCTGCCTGGGGCACGAACGGCGCCAGATCCCCAACCTCGAGGGCCGTCACCCACCATTCCCCATTTCCTTCCCACAACCATAATAAAAAGGCGCTGGAGATCTGCGATCGGGTGAAGGGCGTGCTGGGTCCCGACACGGAGTGCAGCATCTCACTGGCCCCCCTGGACTCCATCGCGGAGGGCCCCAGCCTGGTGCGGCGCAAGGCCTGCAAGGACGCGGTGTCCTTCAGCAACCTGCGTTCTATCATGACGCGGCGGCGCACAGCCGAGCGGCCCGTCCCCGTGCCCATCCCCGCGGAGGTCTCGCCACGGCTGGCAGGCGCGGCGGCGGCGGCGCGCGACGCCTGGTCGGACAGGCCCTCCGCCGTCACCGTCAGCGTGGACAACGAGACCTCTCCCTCCTACACCATGCTGAGCCTGGAGTGCGCGGATCGCAAGGGCCTGCTCTATGACATCCTGCGCGCTCTCAAGGGCGTGGACCTGCGTGTCGCCTACGGCCGGCTGGAGGTGGACGAGGACGGGGCCGGCGCGGGCGTGACCATCGACATCTTCATCCAGGACAACGACCTGTGCCGCATCAACGACCCGTGCGTGGAGGGTTTTGGATTTTTTGCTGGGTTTTGGGTGAGGGGTAATGGGTTGAGGGGGTTCTTGATTGTGGAGGGTTTGAATGGGCGGGACGGTGGACCGTGTGGGCGGGTACATGGGGGAAGAGTTGGGAGGTCCAAGGAGAAGTGCAGTATCCTGAGCGCCGTGGTCGCAGAATTTTGGAGACTCATCCAGCAGGACCCGGGGCCTGCCATGCCCCGCTCCCTTTGCCCGTCCCGCCCTCTCCTCCCTCCCCTTTTTAAACTCGCCCCCCCCCCCCGATCCCCCCCCTCTATAAAAAGGGACGCGCTGGAGGAGGTCAAGCGCCGCGTGGAACTGGCGGTGACGCTGCCGGTGCGCATTACGCTGCGCGACGTCTTCGACGCCTGCTGCAC